GGGGAGCTGGGGTTCTGCACTGCTGACCCTCAGATCTGCAGGTCAGGAGCGGAGAGCTGTTCTTCCCAAGTGTCCCAATTACGCCCCAATTAATTAACGATCTGTCTAGATTTAGTGGGACGTATACAGGTGACCAGGGGTCAGCAATAACGGCCTGTCGCCTGGTACTTCAAACCTAGACAGTTGAGCTGAACCGGAACACATGAACACACAGACAGAATTAGTATGCAATCACACAGGGTTTATTTACCTATTTCTAGTGGGTCCTAGGCTCCAGCAAAGGCCCCCCGGCGGTGCACATCGGAAGACGGACGACGAAGACAGACAGACAGGCGGCCGTAGTCGGGTCAGGCTCACACAGCAGGGCAGTCAGTCAGGGGCTGGTCTCACAGAGTGACATGGAGTCTGCCTCTCATCAGGCAGGAGACGTCCACTGAAGAAAATCTGGTCTTATATAGCCGGTGGTAAACAACTTGTGTCTTATCAGTGTGGGCCAGACAGTGTGCCTTGTGCTAGGAGCAGGGTGTTTACACTTTAAGGGCTCAGGGCGTTCACATCAAGATAGTGGGGCGTTCACCACATTTTGGAAGTTACAGAGTATTGGGGTCTTCACACAGCAAACATTTCACACATTAATTATTTCCACACATTAGAGGGGTTTCCTTATGACCATAAGAGTATTATAACACTAAGGAGCAATGCAGCTCAGTCAACAGGACAACAGCCCAGTGAATAGCTGTGGCAGGAAACAATGAACTGCACATAAGTCTACTTCACATTGGAGCCTTTTCATAAAAATCATACTATGGTAAAACAAGGTATAAAGAATGACGTTTTCTTAATTCCATCACAAACCTGGCTTCACAGTGCACACAGATGTCTAACAAGCACTTGGCCATCTTTAAGGATACAGTATCCTAACGGTCTACTCATCTCTACCTCCCTGCGGAACAAGGGACCACGTGGACTCAGGAGATAGTGGACTTAATACAAAATGAAGGTGATGTTGACCAAACTCAACGAGCACCTACTCACGTGCGTTTTCCTTTCATCGAATGGATAATCCCGTCCATAGGATCGGGTGAGTGTGGAATAACTTCACTTGATTATACTCCTAAATGCAGACTCGGAATGCTGACTATCAGATAGCCTCCCAAAACTCTAGACACTCATAAGTCTGTCAATATTCTTGTGACTTTGTCTTTTTAAAAAACTGTATCTGGCCCATGCTGTTCTCCAGCCATCTCTTCTAATGGAGTCACTGTTCATACGGAAGGAAGTTAAATGTTGATCCTCTAATTAGACATTAATTGTACTCCACAAGGAGGAGCCTCAGTGATTTCCTGGTCCACAGGTTGGGATTTGGGTTCTTATTCATTTGGTTTGCTGTTTCTTATGGTTAGACATTGTTCAAGCCAGAACATTAATTCGTCGGTTGGACACATCCCCGCGGGTCAGACCACAGAGCTGCCTGACATTGTCCAGTTGTCCCTCAGGGGGTGACAGTGAAAGCAGCATGTTGTGAAGCACAGCGAACACTAGTGGGAAATGACAAGAATCATTTTACAGGCTTGGAACAAGCTAACGCGATGCCCTCACCACGGACCCTGAAAACACACCTTCCCTTCCAACTGCTGCCTCCGTCTTTCCAGGAGAAAAACTGTCAGGTAAAGAGCAACAGGAGCTCTGAGTGATACTCTGGTCTTCAGTCTGCTTCCTCAGAAAGCTCTTCACTTATTAAAGGAAAACCCTTCACCTCTTCCCAACAACCGCGTGCCCGAGGCTCTGAGCCTTTCATCTCCCAACACCCACATCTGGGATCCGCATCCGAAAGACCCCCGGACGGACGGACGGACGGAAGGACGGATGGAGCTTGTGGGCGATAACCAGCATGCAGCGGCCTCACGGGCTGTTTCTCTCCCCTCTCTCCCCCCAGATAATCTATGTGGCGAGAAACCCCAAGGACAACCTGGTGTCTTACTACCATTTCCACAGGATGAATAAAGCGCTTCTGGCCCCGATAATCTATGTGGCGAGAAACCCCAAGGACAACCTGGTGTCTTACTACCATTTCCACAGGATGAATAAAGCGCTTCCGGACCCCGGGACCTGGGAAGAGTATTTTGAGAGCTTTCTGACTGGGAAAGGTATGAACATTCAGCTCTGAACCCCTTTCTAAGCCTCCAACACCATCAAAAAGGTCATTTTCTGAGGACCCATGGGACCTGCCTTCTTGGATGTGAGGGGATCACCACCTGACACTGGGAGCTCTCTCCTCCGCAGAGTGTCAGCTGGTGAGCGGGACTCACCCTGTCCCTGTCCCATTCCCCTAGCCCCTGGCCCATTCCCTTGTCCCCACACCCTGGCCCCATCCCCGCCCTGTCTTGCAGTGTGCTGGGGCTCATGGCATGACCACGTGAAAGGATGGTGGGAAGCCAGAGACCAACACCGCATCCTCTACCTCTTCTAAGAGGACCTGAAGATGGTGAGGGCAGCACGTTCCTATCTGACCATGAAACATTACATCATAGTGTAGCGGCCGCATCAGGGCCTCGCAGAGTGAACAGGGAGCAGAGAACAGCTCCATTTCACTGGTGACGGCTGTCCCCATGCTCAATGCACTTGGCTGTCCTGGCTCCCGCATCGCGTCTCCCACAGCCCCTGGCTGCTGGTCCCTCGCCTTGCCTTCCAGCACATCTATTTTAAATTCTGCTTAGGAGGGAAACGTTTTTATAACACATTTTATTCATTGAGGAACATCAATTTTAAGAAACAGTTTAAGAAATGATGGTATAATGGGAAAATACTAATGATTTAGAGTCAGAATTATTGAATTCAAATTCTAGCTTTATTGCCAGATATAAATTATCGAGAGTGAAAAAACACAGAATTGTTTTCTATGTTATTAATTGAGATAATTGAGGTGTAATATAGTGTTAGTTTCAGGTATACAACAGGATGACTTGATATCTGTGCACCTTGCAAAATGAGCACCACAATAAGTCTACTTAACATCTGCACCAAATATAGTTATAATTATTTCTTATAGTTCAGCACCTTTCAGGTATGCAATGCAGTATCATTAACCACAGTCGCCTGCTACACATACACCCCAGGACTGACTGAGCGGACAGCTGGGCATCTGTACCTCTGACCCCTCACCCACTACACGCAGCCTCGCCCTGCTCCCTGCAACCCCAGTCTATTCCCCATATCTATGAATTCTTTTGTTTTGTCTTAAATTGCACTCTATGGTTTTTTTAAAAAAAATAACTTATTACATTTGTAGTATTCTAATACACAGGTAGTCTAACCTCAGAGTCCCTAAACCCTTTTACATGTTCTGTGGTCATATTCTGGAATATTCCCTGAATGTAGTCACACAAAGCTCAGTTTTCCGCACTCTTGCTGATTCTTAGTCTGTAGGCCAATTAAATTAAGCACTTTTTGTCGTTAATCTTCACCCAAGTGTATGTTTTTTTCCATTGGCTTTCTGAGAGGGTGGGAGGGAGGGGGAGAGAGAGAAACATCGATGTGAGAGGACATGTGAATTCATTTTTTTTTATTGATTTTTCTTTGTTAAATGGCATTTAAATATATAAAATAAATATCAAAAATATAAGTCTTTGTTTTACTATGGTTGCAAATATCAAAAAATTTTTATATGTGACACAGCACCAGAGTTAAGTTAGGGTTTTTCAAAGCGCTGACATGCTGAGCTCAAAAGGTTCACCTTCACTGCTGTAGGCCAATTAAATTAAGCACTTTTTGTTGTCGTTAATCCTCACCCAAGTGTATGTTTTTTTCCATTGGCTTTCTGAGAGGTGAGAGGGATGGGGAGAGAGAGAAACATCTATGTGAGAGACACATGGATTGCTGTTTCCCCCAGCTGGACTGGGGCCGGGGATCCAGCCTGCAACTGAGGTACATGCCCCTGAGCAGAATCAAACCTGTGACCCTTCAGATCACAGGCAAGGGCTCTAACCACTGAGCATCTGGCCTTGGCACATTAAACATCCAACCTTTTAAAGGTGAAGCTCATCATAAAGCAGAAGATACCGTCGTGGGGTAAACTCTTCCACTTGCCCTCTTCCCACTCCTTCTAGAAACAGGTACGTCCCACAGCCACATCTCCCAGGGCTCTGCGTCCCTCTGATGAGAGAACACTGGCTCCCTAGGCACTGAGACACCTACACACTGGTCAGACGGACTGAGCCTGGAGTCGTCAGCCGTGGGCACCTCTCAGTCACCTCCGGAGTGTAACAGGTCCTCTCCATCCTCTGCCACACGGCACTGTCTGGGCGCATTTCTGTCCAAGTCAGAGCCAGCGGCAGCCTCCCCGGTCAGGCCTCCATCGCCTGCCCCGTGCCTCTGCTGTGCCTTCATTCTCATCACCAGGCTACACACTCTCCCTGATGCACATGTGGCCAACCAAGACCCTCCAGGAACGGCCCGAGCAGGACATTTGGAAATAAGTTTAGGGCAGCATTCCCACACACTGCATCACACTCAGCGGTGCTTCCATCTCAGAGCAGGAAAAACTTAATAATTATGGTTACTGATGCACATGTGGCCAACCAAGACCCTCCAGGAACGGCCCGAGCAGGACATTTGGAAATAAGTTTAGGGCAGCAGTCCCCACACACTGCATCACACTCAGCGGTGCTTCCATCTCAGAGCAGGAAAAACTTAATAATTATGGTTAATTTTTTAAAATAAATCTTTATTCTTCAGATTATTACAGACGTCCCTCTTTTTTCCCCCCCCATAGCTCCCCTCCATCTGGTCACC